CGACGCGCGCTCCGAGAAATCTTATAGTATATGCGTCGTGGCGGGCGCTTTCTGGCCGCACCGCTCGGGAAACGATATGCTACAAGATGGGTATACTATATGTTCGGGTCGGGCGCGCGCGTCCAAGGAGAATCTATAGTACTAGCATGTCTTTGTGCGCCCAAGTAGATGCAACGATCGGTGAACCTGCCGATGGGTGAGCTCCCAGGCGCTCGCCAGGCCATGGGGGCTCTCCCCCGAGCAATTCTCTTGCTTTTCTGTGCGGGGGGTGATGCTGGCGGGGAGGGGTCAGGATCGGACTGGGTCGGCCTTGCAAACGGAATTTGCACTGCCACTCATGGCGACTGTTCGGTCTTGATCTCGAGATGTTGACAGAAAGGTTCACATGGTGGAACAGCTTGAGATCGGTTTGCCCCTCGAGCTACCAGCTACAGACATTCCACGTGTACAATAAAGCAACATCGGAAGCATTAGTCTAGAATTTGACCTATCTTCCTTCTGAGGGTTCCGATGTTTACCCATCCTGTATCTGGGCTTGTGCTTGCATGGGACCCAGCTGGCAACTGAGAGTCTGAGAGTATTTCTTCAGTGCTTGGGACATGACGGACGTCACGGCCCCCGCGCCCCCCTCCTATGACGTAACGCTCCCCCCGTCCAGTGCTCTCCGGGCACTGCCGCCGTGCGCATCGGGATCCGCATAGGTACCCTCATAGGACTCCGCTTAGGAGTCTGGTCCGCAGTCGTCGTCGTCGTCGTCGTCGTCGTCGTTGTCGTCGTCGCTGGTCGCTCGTCGTTCGTCGCTCGTCGCTCGTCGCTCGTCGCTCGTTGCTCGTCGCTCACCGTCGTCGTGCGCGCGGACGCGGCTGGAGCTTGTTTTTTATTCCCGGCCGATGACAGCAATCATTTGGGGGGGGTGGGGGTGGAGGGGGCCGATGACGTCACATTTCGCGCCAGCGGCGTCTGGGAATGCCTAGGAATGACCGAGGACGGTTAACAGCAGCATGTATGTGGCGATCTGCACCACAGCTCCTGTATACACCACAGTGCATGCGTGCCCCACAGCGCTTGTGTACACCACACCGCCTACGTACACCACAGCAGCCGCGTGCAACACAGCGCCAGTGTGTGTGTGTGTGTGTGCCACAGTGCCTGCGGGCACCACAGCGAATGTGTACACCACAGCGCTTGCGTGCACCACATCAGCCGTGCGCGACGCACCACAATGCCTGCGTGCATTCCAGCGCCTGTGTACACAGCGCCTGTGAGCACCACAGCAGCCGTCTGCAACAGAGCACCACTGTTACATGTATTTTTTAGAAGGAATCTTTATGACAGAAGGGACCGCCTGTGGATTCCACAAAATGGAACAGTTGTTTTTACTCGGATTTGGAACGGACTCTTCATGGGTAAAGGAGCGCCGCTGGAATCTACGAGTCCTCCCGAGTCCGCCCGCCTAACTCTTCCCATCTGCGTCCATGAGGCTCCAGCAAAATTAGCCGTCCGAGAACCAAGTGGCACGCTGAGATGCGCACGTGCGCTGTAGCGCCGACCCGCATGACAGGGGGGAAGGGTGAGGGAGGAGGAGGAGGAGGAGGTAGAGGTGGAGGTGGAGGAGGAGGGAGGAGCGAAACACGCCGTATTCTATTATCAGCACTTCTTTGGCGTGGCGTTTAGCTGTCCGCAGCAGATCCTCACCGACATGCTCCTTCTACCTGTCCTGTGCACGCCGGCGCTGTGGTGTACACCAGCGCTGCGTTGCACGCGGACGCAGTGGTGTACACAAGCGTTGTAGTGTAGACAGGCGCTGTGTTGCACATGGCTGTTGCGGTGTACGCATGCGCTTTGGTGTACACGCGCGCTGTGGTGCACGCGAGCATAGTGGTGTACACAGGCGCTGTGGGGCAGATCGCCACCTACATGCTGCTCGCGTCGTCGTCTTCGTCGTCGTCGCTCGTCGCTTGTCGCTTATCGTCGTCGTGCGCGCGGGCGCGGCTGTGGTGCCAGAGCCAAGCGGCGGGGGGGTGCGTTACAACATGCCCCCCCCGGCCGCACCCCTTCCCTTCCCCCCATGACGCCCGTCATCGCCGAAAATAACGGAACGCTCTCTGTGGAACAGAGGAGCGGGAGGAGGGATGGTGAGGGAGGAAGAGCGTGACTAGAGCGGATTGCAGCGGTTCTGTCGATCGACAGGCCGCACGCAATTCATCGACCAAGACCTTGCACAGACAGTCGGGCCGTCCCCGAACCCGACTGTGCACGGTGGTGATTGGAAACGTTGCCGCCTGTTGCTGGTGCCTTCTCGCACGAGCTGATCTCTGCGCTGCAGTTGGGATGTGCTTCGCCCGATATCGAACAAATTGGGCATCGGCAGAAAGGTTTTCACCGCCCCTTTGTTGTGACCGCCTGCTCTCCACTGCGTGTCCCTGCTTGGCACGCGCTTCCTTGATTCTCCTTCGCACGAGCTGGTCCCAACGCTTTAGCTGCTCTGTGACTGACGACGTTCGGCCCGCGTCCTTCCTCCACTCTTGTTGCCATCATTTGCCATTCTCGCATGCCTGGAAGCCTCGCACGGCATGTCCCCAGCATTCTAGCCAAGGGTGTCCGCAGTGCCACTGGTGACGAAGTCGGGGCCCAGCTTTGCCTCCCACTTCTCGCAGCGTAGTGTCTCAGCCGCTGGTCGTGCGCCCTTCGCATGCGCCGCGACCCCAGGGGTGTAGCTGATGGCATCGGGCTCTGGCTTCGCCTTCCGTCTTGCGTTGAGTAGCGTCAGAGTCTCCTGCCGCCGCTGAGTCTTCTCGCCTACGCTGTACTCGACGACGCTGGTGACGAGCTCGGACTCCAGTTCCGCCTCCCACCTCTCGCGCAGTGGTGCTGGAGCCGCCTGCTGTTTGTCTTTCTTGTGCGCCCTGACCCCCGCGTTGTATCTGATGGCATCGGGCTTTGGCCTCGCCTTTCGCCTCTCGTGGAATAGCGTCAGAGCCTGCTGCCGCTGCTCACCCTTCTCGCGAACGCTGTACTCAGCGAGTGACGAATTCGGGCTCCAGCTTCGCCTCCCACTTCTCGCAGAGTGGTGTCGGAGCCGCCTTCTGTTCGCCCTTCTCGCATGCGCCTGAACTCGCACTGCTTGCCCCCAGCAATGTAGCTGAGGATGGGCTCCAGCCTCAACTCTTATTTCTCGCAGAGTCGTTTCGGAACCGCCTACTGTACGCCGGTCTCCTATGCCGTTCTTGTACGTGCTGTAGCTGATGACATCGGGCTCTGACTCCGCCTTCCGCCTCTCGTTGATCAGCTCAGCACTGCATCACTATGCTTGCACGAGTCAGTGTAATATTATCTTGCGACGTACCCAACCCGTTTGCACCAAGTCCACGTGTGGAAAATGGCATGATCATGGACGCGATGTGTTTTGACAGCCAAGCGGAACTCGCGCGTTGCAGAACACTGTTCCTGTGAGTTCAACACCGCAGATCGACGTGATGGTTGTGCCCTGACAGTCCTACACCGTGACAAAACAAAGCTTCTGGGACGTCAACCATTCGAATCCTTGAAGCTGTTGTAGAACTGTTAAGACGGATGTGCGTGGCGCGAACGCGTGAGCAACATTTTGAAAGGGAGCCGTCCTCTACCCTTGAAGCCTTGGCAAACTTGTAAGGCGAATGTGCGCGGCGCCAGGACGAACGCCGCATTTTGAGAAGGAACCGCTCTCCATCTGTCAAGATCCGACAGACGTTCAAGACGGCTGCGCGCGGCGCTACTGCGATGGCCACAGTTTGAAAAGACACCGCCCTCCATCCGTGAAACGTCTGCGAATCCGTGCTACGAGTGTGCGCTGCGCCAAGGGATGTCTTTCATTCGTCTGACCATTTGAAACACAACAATTGTCGAACATCCCCCTGTAGGGGAACAGGCCCGACTTAACGCCAGCGCTTCCTTATGCTCTCCCTGCTCAGCCCTCCTCGCCGCCTCCTCCCGGCCTCGCGCCTCTCCCTTCGGCTCTGCGCCGCCCTCCATCCGTGAAACGTCTGCGAATTCGTGCTGCGAGTGTGCGCTGCTCCAAGGGATGTCTTTCACTCGTGGAAGGCGCAGGTGCGCGGCGTTCGCGCGCGAACCGCATTTTGGAGAGGAGCCGCCCTTCGTCCATGACGCTCTTGCAGACTTCGGAGACAAATGTGCTGCCGATGTGGCTGTGAAGAGGTTTTTCCAAAAGTCTCCCTCCCCTCCTCCTCTTCCTCCTCTCCTCCTCCTCCTCCTCCTCCTCCTCCTCCTTTTCCTCCTCCCCGTTCCCCTCCTTCTCCCCATCCCCTCCCTCGCCCTCCTCTCCTCCTCTCCTCCTTCCCTTTTTGTAGCCGCCCTCCCCCCCCGTCGCGGAGTCACATTTTGAAAATGGCAGACTTTCAAGACGAACGTGCGCGCCGCTAAGACGAAAGGCACACTTTGAAAAGGAGCTGTCCTCACCCGTGGAGCTTCTGCCGACTTCTGAGGCGAGAGTGCGCGGCGTTCAGGCGAGAACCACGTGTTGAAACGGAGCCACCCTCCAACCTTGAAGCTTCTGCAAGTTTTCGAGGCCAATGTGCGCTGCGACGCGGCGAGAGCCACGTGTTGAAGGCGGCCCGCCCTCCATCCGTGAGGCTCCTGCAGAGTGCAAGCTGGAGGGCCATCAGGTGGTGGGGGGAAGTCTCGGGCGAAGCGCCCGGCCAGCCCTGCCGGCACGCCTCGGGGTGCCACACGGGGGGTGGACCTAAATTGTGTTTTGGCAATATCGCGGGCCGTTTTCGTTTCGATGTCGTTTTGCTGGAAAGGCGGATTGGAGACAAAACGAGGGAAAACGAAAACAAAACGAAAACGAACGACACCGTTTAGGTTCAGTCCTGGTGCCACAGGGAGGAGCAATTTGTCAAGAGCAGGGATACGGGAGCAGGAGGGAGGAGCGAGGAGGAGGCTCGGGTCGAGAGCTCCACCCCTGCAGCCGGCGAACTCGCCCGGGGGAGGGGCCCGACCAGGCCGTGCCCAGCCTGCCGGAGGGCGCGCTCGCGCTCGGCCGCGTGTCGGTCGAGGAGGAGAAGCTGGAGGACGACGCCCCCGCGCCGCCCAAAGGCCACGACGCCCAGGCGCCCTCGCCGCCGCCGCCGCCGCCGCCGCCGCTGTCGTCGCTGTCGCCGTCGTATTCGTCGTCGTCGTCGTCGTCGTCGTCGTCTTCGCAGGTGTCGTCATCGCGGTCGTCGTTGTGGTCGTCGTTGCCGTCATCTCCTCCTCTTGGTTGCGCTCAGGTCCGAGGGGGCGAAAGCATTGGAGCCCAGGGTTCAGCTTTTCGGCCTCTCGAGATTCCAGAGCGGTCTTGCTGGAGTCGTCCTGCAGCTCCCCTACAACCTTTCAAAACAATACTACTCTCCCTTCTCCCCTGACACGTTGCCGAGGTTGTCCCGCCCGCTTCGCGTACTGTGTTCTTCGCGCAGGATGTCAAACGTTTGTGTCTACAGATGTCTTTCAATCGGAGCGTTCTCGGTGTCTTCCGCCTCAGCGTGGGCCTCGTTTTCGGATCGGCGCTCTGCTCCAGTCGTTCAGACTGGCGCTCTCGCCCCAGCGTGGGCCACCCGAGTCCTTTCAATGGCGCGAGCGCGCCTCGCTTGTCCCCTACGTCGAAGCCAATGTGCACCTGTCGAAGCAAGTCTGCACCTTCAGCAGTCCTTTCCAAGACATGCTCGCGTCGTGACGAATGCACGGCGAGAGGTTTTTGGCTCTTCTCTCGGCCCCTGGGGGCCCCTGCCGGGCCCCAAGGCCGTCAAGAAAAGACTCGTGATGAAAAGCCAGCTTCGGGAAAGGTGTCGGGAATATACCGTATTGAAAAGCAAGACAACGGTTGGTTGGGTTGTGGTCGCGTTCTTTCAAGGTATGGTCCCAATTCGATTCTTTCTCTCTTTCGTGGCCCTGTGTCCGCTGGGACAGATAGCTCCCCATGTGGCTGGGTCATCCCGCTTACTGTGCGGCTCGGCATCCGTACCTACCAGGCTCCACCTCAGTGTCGTTCCGACACGTCGCGTGTTTCGCGACACTCTGTGTTTCTTCGGATGATTTTTTAGGACAAGGAGGAGCAGGAGGGGGAGGAGGAGGAGGAGAAGGAGGAGAACAAGGAGGAGGAGGAAGAGGAGGAGGAGGAGGAGGGGCAGGAGGAGGAGGAGGAGGAGGACGACCTGTCCTGCTCTCCACTCTGCGTTTCTTGTGATGAATCTTCAATGCGGGCGGAGAGGCACGTCTCGCTCCCCGTGCCTCTGTGGCGCACGCCTCCTCTGCCACGTATCTCGTTGGGGCCCGTCCGCGCCAGTTGTATTCATCATCGCAGGGTGCTGGTTCAGGTCTGATGTGCCGCCCGTGGACGTCCTCGCTCCTCCGCCCTCGCTCCTCCCCCCCCTCCTCCCTCCCTCCCCTCCTTTTCTTCCTCGAAGCAGATCTGTATGCACACGCAAGGCCTTCTTCAGCCTTTCTGTGTCTCTTCCTTCCTGAATGCCTTCCCGTGCCTCCTCCTCCATGCGATGGGCTTATCTTCATGTATATACCTAGTAACAATGTGTATGTATGCATGCATGTGTATACGTATATGTCTACATTTGTATATATATAGAAATATGTATACACATGTCTTGAGTGCCCTCCCGTAGCTTCGCCTGCAGGCCCACCCCCCCTGGGGAGCCCCTGCACGGGAGGGGCTCCGCCTGCTGCTCGTGGCGGCCACCGTGCTGCTGGTGGCCGTGGCGGGCCTGGTCTCATGCCTGACCGGGTTCTGGGACGGAGGCCGCCCCTGCGCCTCCTGGGGCCCGGGGTTGCCGCGCATTTTCGGGGCAGTCCATCCGTCCCCAAAGTGGATGGTTTTTTGTGCCCGACGCGGGCTCGATGCGGGCTCGACGCGGAGTTGGCTTTGATTCGACACAGATTCGATGAGTTTGAAATGGATGCGACACGGATTCGACGCCGTTCGGGGCGTGACAGGACAGTTAAGGCTACCCGACGATGCAACGCAATGTGGGCAACGTGAGATGTTGGCAGGTGCGGGGGGGATGCATGGACCCCCGATCGCTCCCCTGCGCGCCCTGGGATTGGGATGATCGCAAAGGGTCACAGGAAAACTAGGTTCAAAGACCGACGCCATTTCCAGTCCATTTCGAACAGGCCCCGCTGTCGGCGTCGCCGCGGGCGTTATCAATTTGAGACAGAAGGCCGCCTGCCCAACAGCGGCCGTTGTCGGTTTTGGACAGCATTCTCGATGCTGGGCGTCGTACCCATTTTTCCGTAGCCATTTCGGGCGTCTAAATGGGTCCAGGGGCAGCGATAGGTGGTGGTAGGTTCAGGGGGGGATGCATGGATCCTCGATCGCCCACTCATCGACGATGGCCCGACCCCGCCCAATAGCTTCCGGATTCGCCGATCTATCGGCCATGCATTGCAGACTCAAGCTCAGTATCGCCCCTCCGAGTTGGCCCCGCCCCAACGTTGTTGCTCATCTCATGGGAGGAGGGTGTTGCCGTGGGCGAGGAGGATGTCCCAGCGTCGCGCAGAGGGGAATCCGGCAAGGGTGGCGGCCTTCCGGAGGGCACCCCAGCTCTCAGAAGCCCTCCTGTCAGGAGGAGGAGGAGGAGGAGGAGTTCAGGTGAGCAAGAGGTCATGATAATCATACATTCCAAAGTTTCCAAGATTTCCTGGGCTTCTCAGATGTGCCAATGTTCCACACGAGCTGCGCAAGCGATGGCCGCAGGGTCCCAGAAAGTCCTGAAACGTATTCTGAGCCGATCCTACCATGACATCATTCTCGTCCCTGGAGCGGAGCGGCGCGGAGCGCGCCGAGTTTGCCTTGTGGCGGGCCAGCGGGGCAGGAGCACTGAACTGATATATCGATTTTCCATTCCGCACAGGAGGTCCCGTGAGGGGGCACGGAAGGTCAGGAGGGAAGGTGCCCATGCTGGTGCTCCTCTCCCCCGCTTCCTTTCCCTGAGGGGGGAGAGGGTGTGGCCCTCCCTCTTCCAGGAGTCCACCTCCCCTCCCTCCTCTTCCTCTCTCTTTTCCTCCTCCTCCTCCTCCTCCTCCTGACCATCACGCCCCATTTCCACTAGCCCCATGTCCTGGTCGCCGATTGCAGCAGTTTCGAGGTCAAGTTGGTTGCGAGTCGGCCCAGCTGCCATGCGTCTACGTAGATCGGGACCCCAACTTGGAGCGGCTAGGCGGACTTGCAACCCGCTTGCAAGTGGCTTCAACCAGCCAGCGCCTATTGCAAGTCGGAGCTATCGCAGCGGTACAGGTTATCCCTTGGGGGGGTGGGCTCCCGGACCCCTGGATTTGTTTCCCTCGGAAGGGAGCTTCTTCTTTTACTGCCGGGAGCCCCCCCCCGTCCCCCAGAAAATAGGTTCGCCTGTTTTCTCTGCGCCTCCGATGGGTCGACCAGCGCTGGCACGCGGGGCGCTGCCGTGCGGAGGACCCCAGGGGCCCCCCGGGGACTTGAGGGGGGGGGGGTCACACGTGGGCCATTCCTGAGATTCACTCCCATCAAGGTCGCGGGTCTTTCTCTGGCGCCGGGCCCCCCTTGAAAGACCACGAGAGGTTACGAAATCTTGCAATCCACGCAGTGTCAACGAACATCAAAACATGAACCCATGGACGTCCACGAAAATGCAGAATCCTTCCGCACAGCAGAAACTCACGATCTCCCCATTAAGCCAAATTAGGAGAAGGATTGGCACACAGAATGAAGAGGAGGAGGAGGAGGAGGAGGAGGAGGAGGAGGAGGAGGAGGAGGAGGAGGAGGAGGAAGATCATTCCGCTTCCCCGACATCGGCACCCCTGGAGAGGTCAGGAGTGGCCGGTTCACGGCCCCGTTCTGCAGGAGGCCCGCCTCGGGCCCCGCCGAGAGAGCCATCCTGGGAGGCAAGGCCAGCCTCGGAGGCAGAGCCAGGAGCTCTGGAGCCCGCGTGCCAGAATCGGGCCGGACGAAAGGGGGGGATAGGGTTAGAAAGTCCAGGGTTCGCTATGGACTGGTTTCCCTCCAAAACGACCGAAACCCTCCCGAAACCCTCCTGGACCCCTCCGAAAACACTCCCGGAAGGGTTCCAGGAGGGTTTTCGGAGGGGTTTGGGAGGTATTCGGCTGTTTCCAAAGGAAACTAGTCCGTAGCGAACCCTGGACTTTCTAAGGATAGGGGAAAGGGGGCGGGTACGAACTCTGGTGCATGCACCTGGTTTCCGCCCCGCCGCCAGGCGCCTTTCCCCGATACATGGGCGCCTCCCAGCGCCAGGAGGCGCCAGGAAAGCCAGCTATGTGAGCTGATTCTCTACCCATCCTGCCCTTTCCATCCCCCCCTACAGAAGATCGGGGCGCAGCACCGCAGCCACTCTGGCTCGACCTGTTTTGGCTGCGGCTCCGCGCCAGGCGAGCCCGGGCGGCGCGATGGCTGGGGGCGGCGCGATGGCCGGCGGCGGCGGGTGGCCCCCGCTGAGCAGGCTCGCGGCGGCGGCCGCTGCGGGGGGCGTGGCGGCCGCCGCGGCGTGAGTGTGGTTCCGCAGGAGTCCAGAGATCGGAGGTTGATAGACCTCCTACCCTGACACGTCGATTGGCGAATCGGCCGTTTGCGGTTCGCGAGAGGGCGTCGCGGCCGTCCTTTTTGCGGGTCCAGGTGCGCCGATTTCGATCTTGGGCCGTTTTCACTAGAAAGGGTGGCTTACTGAAGGGAGGTTTGTCCACCGCCGAAGAGAGAGAGAGAGAGAGAGAGAGAGGAGAGCAGCAGACCAAGCGCCTTAGGCCTCCCAGATGGGGTCGGAGGTCGCGCCGCCTCGCCGACGCACCGCCGCTGCGGCTCGACGTGGGGCCCGATCTGCTTCACGTCGACGTCGCCGATGCGTGCCTGCGTGGTGGGGCCAGGCTGGGGGCGGCACGCGGCGCTCCCCGTTGTCCCACCTCCTCGTTGTCCTCCTCCTCCTCCTCCTCCTCCTCCTGCTCCTCCTGCTCCTCCTCCTCCCTCCTCCTCCCTCCTCCTCCTCCTGCTCCGGTTCCTCTTTCTCTCTGCACTGCGACGTGGCCTGGCAACGCGAAGGCGGCCAGGGACGGCCAGCCGTGGTTCGTTCCCCGCCGGTCTGGGTCAGCGGTTGCGGCTCGGAGTCTGGCGTTTGAATTTACAGCTGGACACCTGAACAGGAAACCAAATTGTAATTTCGGGGGTGGACAGACCTCCTACCTTGACACGTCGATTAGCGAATTGGCCGTTTTCGGTTCGCGAGAGGGCGTCGCGGCCGTCATTTTTGCGGGTCCAGGTCCGTCGGTTTTGGTCCCAGGCCGTCTTTCTTAAGGGGAGGTTTGCTAAAGGGAGGTTTGTCCACCGCCGATAGTTGTTTCCCAAACAGTGCTTGCTCTTAGGGCGCCACGATCCTCGCGAGGGGTGTGCCGACATGGTGGACATGCGGCGAGCAGCAGCAGGAATGGGAGGAGGGAGGAGGGGGAGGAGGGAGGGGGCAGCGGGACGTGAGGTGAGGGGAGATGTGGGGCGCTGTCTCTTCAAAACGAGGACCCAACACCACAGGATGGTTGGGAAGAAAAGAAGTCACAGACGCTGCGGGCTCGACGCTCGACGCCGCCTTCTGGCCCGTCTCCTACGGTCTCGGCCAGAATGTTCGATGTGGCTCTGAGAAGGCCGCGGCGCCCGAGACATCCCTCAGAGCCGCCAGAGCTCAGAGATTCTAGATTTATCCTCACCCGATGTTATCCTCGTCCTGTCTTCGTCTTAATTCGAAAACAATCAAAAAATTGTCAGAGGATTATTGTTTGATTATGTTTGAATCATTTTTGGAGTAAGTTTGGGCTTCCTTTCCAAATCCGCCTGTAGGAGGGCATACCCGACCTGATCGTAGAGGCGTGCAGCAGCGGGAGGTGCGAGCCAGACGTACGGTCGAGGGGGGCAAGACCTGTGGTGGCTCATGCGCCCCGCAGGTCGGGCCTGCCGCCTGCCGCCCCCCCGCGCGCCGGAGGGTCTGCCGCCATTCGGGGGCGGCCAAGAGGGGGGTGATGACTAGGGGGGGGGGGGGGATCTCATGGCGGGGGCCATTCGGAGGTTGATCGGCCTCCTACCCTGACACGTCGATTCAGGATTTGGCCGTTTTCGGTTCGCGAGAGGGCGTCGCGGCCGTCACTCTAGCGGGTCCAGGTCCGTCGGTTTCGGTCCTAGGCCGCTTTCACTGATGGGTGGTTTGCTAAAGGGAGGCTAGTCCACCGCCGAGACCACGGGGGGGGTGGATGTCAATGGCGGGGGCCATGAGGCCTCCTCCGGCTTCGTGGCGCCTCCTCTCCTCTCCGTGCGTTTCCTGGCCCGCCCTGGTCCGCGCACGTGCCCCGGGCCATGACTTGCGCCCCCCCCCTCCTGGACCCCCCCCCCTCTTGGCCGCCCCCGGTGCCGCCATGCCGCCCCGGGGCGCCCAGAGGGAGGGCGTGAAGCGAGGGAGGTAACACGATGACGGTGGCCAAGATTTGTGCTGCTCCCATCGCGCTCGAAGGCCACATCCCAGAACTAACTTCGAGCACCCGGGTCCTTTTTCACCACGGCCGTGTCTTTTTTGACCACGGCCGGGTTGGCCACGGCCATTTTGCGTGTCCTTTTTGACGACGGCCGGGTTGGTCCTCTAACGGCTGAGAGAAACAGCCAGCTGTGGTAGAGGAATCCAATTTTGTCGGATACCAGCCCGTCGGGTTTGAGCTCCCTCGGAGCAGATCAGTTCGGACGAAGGCCACAGGCTGAGCTTGAGAGGGCACTTGTTGAAGGTAATAGGTCGCGTTGATGATCGAGACGAAGGCCACGGACTCAGCTTGAGAGGACACTTTTTGAAGGCATTAGGTCGTAGAGCAAAAAATCGAGCACCCGGAAAAGTGTCGAACAAGTGTCGAAACAATGTCGAAACATTGTCTCCCAGGTCCCGACACGTGAAAACCCTTGAATGTTTTTTTTCCTTGGTGCTCGAAATTCTCTCTGGTGGTCAAGGCTAAAGTAGGTTGGAACATCACAAGCCAAGATGACGGTGGCCAAGATTTATGATGATCCAACCTACTTTTAGCCTTGACCAACAGAAAGAATTTCAAGCACCAGAAAAAAGACCGACGTTTAAGGGTTTTCACGTGTCGGGCCCTGGGAGACATGCGTTCGACATGGTTTCGACACTGTTTCGACACTTTTCCGGGTGCTCGAACTTATTTCTGGGATGTGGTCCTTGCGTACGATCGGAGCAACATATGCCAAGATGTCGTTCATCGGTGCGCCCGAAATGGATACGGAAAGGGTGCGAACACCGACGGCAGTGTCTGTTCGTTTTGAGCAGGGCTCCTCGTTGGTGTCGCCGCGGGCGTTGTCCCTTTGAGACAGACCGCCGCCTGCCCACAGCGGCCGCTGTCGGTTTTTGACAGTATCCGTTGCTGGCCACCGTGCCCGTACCCATTCCGGGCGTCCAAAGCTCAGAGGGAAGAAGCACGATACCGACACCGATCTCTTTCCCTCGTTTTTGTTGTGCCTCCTGGGCCCTCGTCGCCACGGCTGGACTCGGCTCGAGATCTTGGCCATAGCGCTCCCCGTGAGAGGTCCAGGGAGCAGCGGCATCAGTCCGATCTTGGTCATGGTCCGTGCGGGCCGTCACCGATCCGCGAGGACGATCCATGGATTGAGGATGACCAGGATGGACCCTGGCTAAGACCAGAGGGCGCCAATTTGTTATACACCTACACCGATCGTAGCCAGGCCGATTCTGGGCCCAGGATGGGCCTGGGCTCAGGATCGGTGCAGCAGCTGGCGCCCTTTCTCAAGATCGGCACCGACGTTTCGGCGTTCAGTCTTGGCCGTGGCCGTCGCTTTCTCTCCCTCCAGTGAAGGCAGCGAGTAGGGGGAAGAAGAAGAGCTTCAGTAAGGTCGCGAGCGGCCCACACGCCCGTCGGCAGGTGATGTCTGGCATTAAGGACCGTGTCGGAAATCGGCGCCCACTCGCGAGGTCGGGGTTCGATCGACATCGGAGGGGATAGGGCCCAGGGCGGTCCGGGTTCCGGGGAGTTTTTACTTTTTCGCTGGTTCCTCGCAGTTTTCCAGCCTCAGGGTGCCTTCCAGCGGCTGCGCCTCCCCGAGAACGTTCCGAGGGCCGGATCGTCCCGGAGGGCCGGCGGGGAGCTGAGTTACGACCCAACACCATCGATGTTGGGGCCTAGGATTCGGTGGCCCCCAAATGGCGCGGTGACCACGCAGTTCGGTGAGCCAGTGGGGATCCGGAATGACCGCATGGTTGTGAGACTTGGTTCGTTCTCCGAAAAGAATTGGGGCGACTGGGGCCACGAAGGTCTTGAAAGCCTTTCGGCGACGGACCGGGCGGCGAGGTCTCTTGGGATTTCGAGGTCACCGCGCGGTGTGTCACCGTGCCGTTTTTGGGACCCTGCTGCCTTTAGCTGGTTTTGGCCTCGCCGCCGGACACATTCCTGGATACACAGGCGCCTCTGGTGCTGGGGGGAACCCGTTCACTACCCGCCCCCTCCGTTTCGTCCGACCCGAAAGGAAAAGACCAAGGGTCGCCTCACAAGGGACCTCCTCGTGAAGAACAAAGACGGGAAGATTGTCTCCATCAAGGCCTCTGCGGCGGGCCGGAAACGGTACCTTTCTTCGCCGATCAAGTTGTGGTTCGAGTCCGTGAGCGCGGCCCGGAAGGCGCTGAGACTCACCAAGTTCGTCGCCGTCAACGGCAGTCGAAGACAAAAACAATTGCGTAACCAAAAGCTTTTGGAGGCCCGCGCGGATTTCTCGAGTCGGCGCTGGACCCCCCTGGCCCTGGCGCGCGCCAGGAAGCGAGGTCCACCACCTGCTGCTCCTGCTCCTCTATCCTCCCCTTCCTCCTGCTGCTGGCATGGCTGCCGCGGCTTTGTCTCGAGCCCAACCCTCTCAGCCTCGAAGTTCCCCAAAGTTCTCCTCGCCCTCCTCCTGCTCCTCCCCCCCCAGTTCCTCCTCGCCCCCCTCCTCCTGCTCCTCCCTCCACCCGCCTCCTCATCTCCATCATCCCCCTTCTCCTCCTCCTACTGCTCCTCCTCCTCCCCATCCTCCTCCTCGACCTCCTCCTCCTCTTCCTCCCTTTCTTCCTCCTCCTTCTCCTCCTCCTCCTTCTCCTCCTTCTCCTCCTTCTCCTCTTCCTCCTCCTCATCCTCCTCCTCTTCCTCCTCATCCTCCTCTTCTCCTCTTCCTCCTCCTCCCCATCCTCCTCTCCCGTCTCGTCCTCCGCCTCCTCCTCCACCTCCTCCCCCACTTCCTTCTCCTCCTCCTCCTCCTCCTCCTCCTCCTGCTGGTCCTCCTCCTCCTCCTCCTCCCTCCCCCTCTTCCTTCTCTTCCCCCTCCTCCCCCCGCCATGGCCGCGCGGACCTTCGAAAGTCGAGGCTCATTCCGAGCTCCCCTCCCCATTGAGCCACGCGCAGAGGGGGGGGGCAGGGGCGGGGGGGGGGGCCCTTGGAAGCACCCCTGCCTCTCAGAAGGCGAGGGCCTTGCTGGTAGACGATGCAGGGCCAGCGCCTTCGAGAAGCAGCCTCCTTCCAAGCATCGACTACGCGTGAGAGTGACTCTTCGCCCGAGTGACTTTTGGTGCAGGCTCGTCGGGGTCCGCCCGATCGTTGAGCGCGATGCGATAACGACTGCTTGCGCGTTCGGATTCGGCCACCTCGCGCCCCCTCAGGCCGCGCACCAAAGTCACTCTTGCCTAGGGTCACTCCTTGCGTGTAGCCGACAGCAGCATTCCCCCCCCACTTGCCCCAGAGTGCGCGCCCCCGACAGGGGGCTTCTTAGGAGCACCCCTGCTTCGTGGGAGGCGCGGGCCTCGTCTGCAGATGCAGGGCCGGCGCCTTCTAAGAAACCCGAGAAGCCTTCC